TATACGTGTGATATTGATGAGAAGTTTCCTTTAAAAATAATCCATAATCTTGATAAATAAGAGTTTTCTGTGTTACCTACCTTTTTCACTTGCCCTATTTTTAACGATTGAGGTGTCATTTTTAAGCTTTTGATCAAGCAGGCCTACTAAAAAATCTTAGTAACAACTAAAAATTTTAGAAACTTAATAGGCCATTTCCATTAGGGATTCGTTCTTCTAGCGTTTGTTTTATCATCGATTTTCCCATATAGGGAATAACCTATTTATTACCGTAGGTCTCATGGTAAGACCTGGACCCAGGACAGATTTACTTTTTCATTTCGAGGTCCCCAGTGGCCGAAAACACCCTCCGTTCAAATTCATATACTATATATATATATATATATATATCTGTGTCCGTTAGCACGATAACTCGACAAAAAATGATCCGATTTTGATGAAATTTGGTACAATCGTGTAAACCTGCGTTTATTCGAACGAGTTCGCGAACCACCGACCATAGGGACGGAGCTTTATGGGGGGGGATTTATGGGGTTTATTTGAAGAGCTGAAACAACAAATAATTTAGTATATTGAAGTGTTTTTCTACAATTATTTGTTACGGAGAAAGTAAAGAAATTGTAAATTTTAAATTCCTATGTGATTCTTAAATGGAGAATAAGTAAACTGGTATAATTTGCTTGTTTATGGATATATTTTAATCAAACTTGGAGAATCTATTTATTTTATAATAAGCTACTAATATTTTACTAAAAACACACTTTGTTACCCTCCCTGTAGCAGCAAACCTATGTGGTCGTTAAACCTAATGTCATTGAATTAGATTTAATTGAAAATAAAATCAGGCAAATGGAAATTCGCTTAGTCTGCAGGTTTGCTGTGGTGGTGGATTTTTTATACTTCGCTTTCAAAGATCTAATGATGCTGAATAACTTTCTTTAAAAAGGTTTAAAATGTGGATTTTAATTTAACAGCTGATGTTTCAGTTTAATGTTTATCAACAATTAGATTGTAAACAAGTGGCACAACAGTTTATGCAAATGAATTTTAAGCAGCCTACTTTTTTACAAAAGCCTACCCAAATTTGTGATTTAGACAGACTGAGGTAGGTAACTCAATCTTTATAGTATAGATTTGATACCAATAGATTTAATTTATTTTAGATTTGTAGTTTTGTTCACCTTATAAATGTCTGAAACGAATATTAGCTTTGAAAGGTAAATGGGCATTGTATTTCCGTGTTGCCTTGCAAACAAGATTTGGACCTTTTTGAAATCCGAGATTCACCCACGGGTCCCCTCTTTCATTTTTCCATGCTTTATTTAAAAAATAATGATATCTTTAAGCTGTTTTAGTGGTTAGAGTGAGGTGTTATACATGATAATGCTTTGGAAAAACGGGGTTTTATGGAAAAAAATTATTTTTGAAAATGTTCAACCTAAAAACATGGAATTGGGAATTTTTCTGAAAACCATTTTGTTACGTAGAAGAAAAAAACTATTTGCTATCTTAAAGTGTTTTGCAAGGTTAATGGAACGGAGGAAATTGAAAATTGTAAATTAAAATTCCTATGTTATTCTTATAGGGAATAAGTAAAATGTTTTTTATGGATATATTTTGATCAAATTTGGCAAATCTATTCACGTCATACCAATTTGCTGACATTTCAATTTTAAAATACACACTTTATTTCCTTCCCTGCGGCACCAATCCTAAGTACTAATTTAAGTATACTTTATTTATAAGTATAATTTAAGTACACCAATACTAAGTACTAAGTACTAAAAAAAGTAAATTAACACATCACTACCAGGTCACACAAGAGTCGTTATACAGAAGAGTCTGGCAGCTGGTAGGCCAGGTGTAAATCTAACAATTGTCAATGAAATATTTGAGTTTAAGTTCAATCAGGAAGAGAAATCCACTTGGTCTTCAGGTTTGCTTCAGTAAGGGTATTATTTGGCATAAAGTTGCATCTATGAAAAAAATGCCTTGGCAACTCAAATCTTGTTAAGCACCCATTTTAACGTCGTTACAAACGTGCATCCTACTGTTAAACTTGATACTCTATCCCCAACACAGAGTTGAAGTTTCTCAGCCAAGATCGATGCTTTTGAAGTGGTGAAGTAGGAGAGTCGCCACCGATGTTACCAACTAGAGAGTGATTGATGATAACAGCTGATTGCCAACCATTGACTACAGATACCATGACGTAAACAATGTAGACATTTCGTAAACATGAAAATATTGTGGAAAATTATGGGATAAATAAAGAACTTCACTAATCAAAAGTTTGGTTTGCTGTTAAAAAATTTTTTTTCTTGTACAATGACGTTTTAACAGTGTTAAACTGTAAGGGATACTAATAGTAAAAAATTGCGTGTTCTTGCTGATTATGGTAAAATGTAATGCAAAATAAACGGTATCAGCAATATGAACCATACTTTCGCCCATTCACTTGGATTTTTTTCGAAAAATAAAAATTGTCCGTTATTTTATGGGAACACAACATATGTTACAATTACGTTTGATCCGTAGTCTTTACAGCAATGGCAGAGGTACCATTCTGTTCCAAATTTAAAAGGACTACGACATACTACACCATCAAAATCGTTCAGGCCATTTTTGAGAAAATTGGATTTTTCCGTTATTTTATGGGGAAATCGCCATTAAAATAAAATTTCTAACAAACACCATGGATATACCATGGAATAGTACCTACCTACTTACCGAATTTCATCAAAATCGGACAACCGGTGTGGTCTGTAGATCTATACCATGGATTAAACATACTCCCAGTATGTTTAATCTATGCTGTCTATACACATCCACACAGACAGACAACCGCACACAAACACACACAGACATCACTTCGAAAACCACTTTTTGGGTTCGTTGGGTCCAAAACAAATATATCCACTCCAAACTCAAACTTGAAAATTTTCGTGAAAACAATACATTCCCATACACATGTATAGGAGGAGAAAGTAAAAAGAGCTTGAAGGATAGCGCACTCTATAAATGGTACGTCTACTTTATTAATCTACTCCTTAAAATCCTTGATGCAATTTGACAAGAGTAGCCATATTGCTGCTTGCCAAATGAAGGCGCGTCTCAGCATCGCGCCATTTGATGGTAAAGGCGAGTGTAGTATTTTATATATTTTTACTTAAATGTTTAAAGCACGCGTTAATGACATGTCTAGGTATAATCAAAATGTTGCTTTTCAAACTATTCGTCGAACTTGTGTGTACAAATAAATGTAATTTATTGTAAATAAACTGTCATATGTTGCACCATACCAATCCTAACTGTTAATGACCATTGACTTTTGATACAATCTGTAATCAAATGTTCAATAACAGCTGTTAACAATCTTCATAATCTGTTAATATTTTTTTAAGTTTCTTTCTGAAAAATAAAATTGCGATACAAGATAAAAAGTCTGCATCTAGTATCACTTCAAAGTCGTTCTATCAACGGTTTCAACTAACAATATGTGACTTTTGAACAAATCTAAAAAAATATACAGTATTAAACTTAATTTTAACATTCACCCAAACAGCAATTGTTTATTAATATTGGTTATAAAAGTTTATTTTAATGTGTATAATACACTGTGACTTATTAAACTGATAAAACCGGTAGAAAGGCCCCGTAAAAAGGTTTTGGTGTATTAAAATTCAGGCTTAGGTGGTTGAACGTGTTAAGGCATGGCAGAAATAATTCAAATTGATCTCATCAGCCTTGAAAATCTTCCAACCTCACTCAGAATCGCAATACCCTTGAGTTATCTCTTGATAATACATATCTATCATGCTCAATAGGGCTGATAATATCTCTCATGACGCTGATATTGAAAAACTCGTAATTTTAGATGTAAACACAATCTTAGTTTGATTCTTAAACTTAGATGGTTTGAGACAAGTTTAGAGACATTGAATTTATTGTTTTTATCATTTTAAAAGACCTTAGGGTTTTATTACTACTGTTCTACTAAGGAATTGGTTGTTTGAGTTTATAAAGAACTTTAGATCCACAATCAAAAAAGATAGTTCTTCTCTTCTATACGAACAGGAAAGTGTCTGCGCTAAAGATCTTCTTAAACAATGCTTGAAATAGTATATTGCTTTACTATTCCTGAAAATAGGTGTTTACCGGACGAGTGTGAGATTACCATACGAGTCCGGTAAAACACATTTTGGTCGAGTGACGTACGATATTTTAAGCCATACTACTCTAAGCTAACTTAACAATAAAAAATCTGTACAAATCCTTATATTTCCACCAACTAAATTACTAATAATCACTAATCGAGGTTATGTGTTAACCATTCATGTAACCACTCATTGCCATATGTAATCAGCTGGTTGGTGTCCGGTAAAAACCCCATATGAAACCCCATTGCTGGTGGCAAACAGCTGTTTTCTGGACTAAATCCTTGCGTGGGAAATTGGTTAAAACAGTGTAGTGTGGCGTAAATATTTTATTTTACTGTAAATACTTAAAACTACGTATTTAAGCGAGTCAAATAACAAGAAAATACTATCTCATCTATCTATATACTATCTATGTATAAAGCAAAAATGCAATAAGATATTTACAGCAAAAACATTTGTACTATCAGACAATAACTATACATATTTTTTATCTAACAGAAATACTTATCTCTAATCTATCAGAATACAAGACAGAAAATCCTTGCTGTCAGCTTACACGTCAACAGCAACGATCTTCTCAATAACCTGCCATTGTACAGTCGATAGCTTCCCATCTTAGAAGATCTTATCGCCGTCAAACAGTATCTTATCAATTTTATCGTTTTGAAAACATTCGGCATCAAAATGTTGATGTATCTAATAAGTATTCTATTTGCTTTTGCTGTGCTGAAAAGTCATTGAATCCAAGTTTAATCGTTGGATTCGAGTAAACTATAATTAATTACCTCACGGTGAAAGATATTTATAAGGCCTTTTTGTTTTCAGGAATATAGATTTGTGGAGCAATCGAATTGAGGTAAGAGTAAGTTAAAATATCATTGAATAGATAAACATATTAAATAGGCTACTACACTTAATTGTTTGGCACTTGGACAATTATTTTGAGTCTTGTATAGCAAATAGTACTGTCATATTGTTTTTTTTATGAAGGTATTTATTTTTAGCAAATAATTTAGGTATACTTATTTTTTCCAAATTTAGATCCGATAGATCATTGGACTAACGTAAATTGTAATTGACTTAAATTAAACAGTTTAAACTAAATTTATTTAACGAAATTTTAAGTTTTGACTATATATTGATTGGGCAATATTAGTTTTGTAAATAGACTGACCAATAGTATACCATTTGCAAATCTGTTCACATAAAAATATCTTCTAATATGAAGTGAAATATTTTAAAATATTGAATCACAAAATAAATTAGAATTTTACATTTCTGCTGCCATTATTATGTAGCTTAGATAGGTGCCTGCCACAAACCGCCATGTAATTAGTAGCGCTAGAATATTTATATTTGTAAAAAGAAAAAGAAAAAAAATGTAAATTTTGTTTGTTACATTTTTGTGAGTCAATTGGACCTCGCCGACAAGTTTTGCAAACTTGGCGAGGCCAGATTTTGTATTATCACAAATAAATAAATTTGAATTTGAATTTGAAACGATGATATATACCAACAATTTAAATTTTGTAACAATTCTAAAATATTTTTATTGTTTCCATGTCTTACAAAAAGATAGTTTATTCTACCACTTTTATAACTTTATATGTTGTATACGTTATTTATAGCTAAGACAGCGTCGGGAAAATTATAATTAAAAAACCAACTAAAATTAAAATGCATTTGGATGAGAAATGTTTTGAAATTGATTCCGACCCACGCAGAAAAGTTACAAATCGTCAATTTAGACGGATATCACCAACCACTCGATTGAATGTGATCATATGAATTGAATAAGCTAACCACTCCATATCCCGTGCGAGTCTGCAAAGTCTGTAAATGGGAAATTGTACAGCTTTCCAACCCTCGCTTGGTGAAATTACTGTGTTAATATTTTAAAATAATTGTATCTCGTGGTAATAAACGCAGAAGTAATCCTATAAAACTGTCCAGTTAAATTGTTTATGATAGATGTTATATTTTCGGGGTTTAAAAAAATTTTCGAACTACTGAAACATAGGGTTGAAAAATATGAAATAATTTACTAAGCTAAGTTGTCATAAGATAAGGTACCATCGTAGGTTGAGGTGCCTTGATGGTACCTCCACTCAATTGAATAAATACAACTGATCCCAAAAATAGGCAATGCTTGTAACGATAAACTTTGGAGATTTAGCAAAACGTGAACTCAAATTCGACCACTAAATATTTACTGCCAAAATATAAGAGCATTCTGAAGGATGGCGGCAAAGATGTGAGCATTTCCGGTACAAGCGGCTCGACTGTCGAGATACTTCCGGTGACGCAACACTGCCTACTGTTTGTTTCCGTCAAGTAAAAATAAAATACACTTTTGACAAGGAAAAATCCCAAAATAACAAAACTAGATATTTTTCTCTGAACATAATTTTTTTTAAATATAGCTAGACTTTAGTTACCTGTTGCAAAAAACCTCTAATTACTATTAACGTATGTTCGCAACATGTTCATGTTTAAAAAATTTTTTTTATATTTTGGATTTTTTTTAAAAGCTACCTACCTTTAGCAATTTGGGTAAAAAGAGTACAAAAAGATTTGGTTGAATAATTAGAAAACACAATTTGTGATTATTCACGTTATAAATAGACACAGGAAAATATGAAAAAATAAACTAGTTTCAGTAATTTACTTAGTTTCAAGTGTACACATAGATCAGTAAAATAATGCTTTAACTTGAATAGATATATTTTTCAAACTGTTTAAACTAGGCACTATCACAGTGGATGTAAGTAAATTTTAAAAACAATTAATCCAAAATAAATAGGGTTATAACATGTAAAAACACCGTTTTAATAATATCACTTTAATGATTTGCCTTACTCAAAAACAACTAATGTACACAAATTTGTATTGAAGTAGAAACCACTTTGATACAACATGCCTTTTAATCGTTTAGACAATTTACAAAACACATTGTGACAAACCTCACTACAGTATTTCACTATTTGCCTACACACCTGAACCAATTAAATCACCTCACACAATACATGTAAAGTGAAGCTGTTTAGCTTATTGTTGGAATGACGTGTTCAAAAACTGCAATCTACATAATTAAACAGAATCGATCCTGGGATTAGGATAATTAATAACACAATCCTGTTAGGATTAAAGCTAATGGGTGGAGGATAGCGGTTAAAATCAGGGATGCAATTTATTCTACCCGCGGTGAGGCTTAATAGTTGGTAAACTTTGAAAAATTTCCCGGGATTAAATGTTTATTAGGTTGGCAATGTTTTATGAATCGGTGTAGCGGTTAATGTAAATAGTTTCGGCGTGTTAAGCAGTCGAATTGGATATTTCTATTAATCAATTAACTACCACTAGGTTTTTTTGTTGAATAGTTGTATTTTGTCTTCAGGCTCTAGCTCACGATCGTTGCAGCCCTAGAGGGTTACAAAATTACCATTTAGGTAAAATTCATTGGTATTTGGCGGGATTTGACCCCGGGACCTCAGAGACCAAAGTCCCGGGGTCAACTAGACTAGATCGCCTCTTTAGGTTGAATAGTAATCATATACAGATTTTGTATGGTTAGGTCAGAACCGAGGCAGAACCTAAACCTTAGATTGTGTGTTACATACAACTCTAATAGTGGTAGTGAATTCACATAAGATATCAAAATTAATTATTTTGTGCTAAAGTTTAATATTGGGAAACGTTAACCGATAACTAAATTGAGGAGTGACATCAAGGTTAAGGTTTAGGTTTAAAAACCGTCAATAGAAATATCCTTTTCTTATAAGGTACGCAAAGTGTATGTACTGTTTGCTTTTTTTGTCTCATGATTTCATATGTAAAATTAATACAATGGAGTGAAACTAAAACGAAAATAACAGTGATTCCGAATCAAAATCTTACAATTATGCCAAAATTATTTTATGGCGCTCAACTTTAAACTTCTTTGTTTTAAAAATGCCTATGAAATGAACAATAATGTATTTAATGAATTGCATAATTCCCTTACACAGCGAACTTGAACCTAAAAAAATGTAATATTTTTTAAACAAAGTGGCAATTATTCACTGCCAAAATACTTCGAAATAAAAAAGTTTTAGTACTGTATTACAAAAGGTAGTTTTTTTCACCTTTATAGGCTAATCTTCATTCGAACCCCGTTGTGAAATAAGGTTAAGTTACTACAGTATTTGTTTATAAAAAATGCACTCGTAAAGAAAGAAGAGACACAAGAAGTGGCGCGTTCATGCAGAATATCGAATCTGAGTATATTCGGTTGTTGGTGAACCGAACAACGATAAGTTCACTCGCGCTATCGCGTCAAATAGGTGGTGTCAGCTAGAGTAAAATGGCGACCATGTGGAAGTCACCGACGAAAACTAATATAGGAGAGACTGTGTATTTTGTTTTACTCTCTTCAAACACATAAGATCTCTTGATTTAACCTAATACAAACGACGAATACTTGTTTTGTTAGATCAGTGACTGATTTTGATATTGGTTTTGTGTAGGCCTATTGATTGAACCGACAGATGTTTGGAGGTTTTCGATTAAGCTTTGGTGTAAAATAATATTTAAACAGATTTCCCTTGATTTCGTTTTAGTTTACATTTGAAAATTGAACACAATTATACAGATCTGGTGGTTTAATACATTCAATTAAATTTAAAAAAAAACTTGCATACGTAGATATTGTTTTTGTATTTTGTATCGCTTATTTTCGTAACCACCACACATCCTTTTTTCTATGATTTAGTAGGAAATCCATATATAAATCCCAAAGTACCCATGAACTTTTGAGAAAACTACAAGTCACACCCCCATAAACAATACTTAAAATGTTAGTCATGACGAGAAACCTTGCACAAAACTATCCATTATTTCGTAAATTGCCTTTTCGTAAATTCCTTTCTAAAGGGAACTTTCCATGTACCTAATGTTAAAAATACGTCAGCTGTAGTTATTTGTTTGTTATTCTTTCAATTTGTTACCTAAAATCAGGTGTGATTATTTTTTTGCATTACTGTATTCTGTTTTGTTTATTTAAGCCAATGGTTTTATTAATACTTATGAAGTCAAACGGAGTGAAGCCCGTGGTTAATAGCTAGTTAAAATTAAAGCATAAATCAATATTATCACCGATATTCTTAGCTTAATATCCTGAATACCATTTACTTACAGTCGGTATAAAATTAAAGTTTATCATGAATATTTTACGATATATTCTGAAAATATTTTGTTAATTATTTTTATTTTTAAGTTATCAAAAGTACAATATCCACAAGGAACTGTTAGAAAAATACTAATTGAACGTGATATTTCATGATTTAATAACGCCATCTTAATGGAAAGTAAATATTTTAACAGTATGTATGTTATTTTACTATGGTGTTTACTGTTTACTAATGTTAATTAAAAATCGAAAGTATATTTGTTGTGCTAGAAATAAAAGTGTTGTCATTAATTGGCGTTAGAGGTCAAGAACCGGCAGAGATAGCTGGAAACATACTGTTACTATTTACCATAATCCTAGCTTAGTTTAAAATAAACAGTTTTGCAAAGTCCAGAGGATAAAATGTTAAATGTTTTACAAAGCACATGGCCTTTAGATAAGTAATAATGCCGTAACCCTTTAGGACTATCGTGAACTTATGTGTAAAATGGTCCTGGATTAGAACCTATAGCGTTCTAGGATGTGAAGGATATGGATAAGAAAAACCCTCCGGTTAGAAACTACAAATATTTTCTACGATTTACACTCCTGAGCAACTATTAAACTGTTACCCTTTGGAATATCTAGCTGATAAATCATAACAGCTATGAACAACGTAGTTGAAAGTCATGCAGGGATATATATTTGCC